AAATTTGAATATGCACATTGATTTTGAAGTATCAATGCCTTTAGGGGCGAAAGATATCAAAACGATCAATTTAACTGATGCCCCATAAGTGTATATCTAAACGAGTAAAGGTTTTGCAATTGCTTATAGATAATCTTGTGACATTAAAACCTTTTTTCTAATTGTCAATTATTTTCAAATATGTTACATGTAAATATTTCAATTTTATTTTTTTTTGGTCGTTTATTCAAATAGTTGCATACATAAAGCTGCTCAATTATCCGATTTTTCTACCTACTGCTCTCTCTCTCTCTCTCTCTCTCTCTCTCTCTCTCTTACTATTTTCTTCCAATGTCAAAACGTATATTATGAAAAATACAGAATTCGATTGGGCTATTAAAATCAATCAGCAACATGATACAAAATTGCTTCATTTATGAACGATTTCCATTATGTTTTGAAAGCTAAGATTGTTTTCTTTGCAGTTTAGAGTAACTGAAGAACGCTGCCTTGGAGTGATTGAAATTAAGTCAAATTAAGTTTTAGTATATTTAAACCGATCTTAAACGGTGTTGAATGGTACTTCCTTGGCTTCAGCTCATTAGCCAATTAAAAAACTTCAGCAAGAAATTTCGGATTTTGTCACATTTGCTCCTAGAGACAAATACGTAGGTCATCTTCATTCAGTTAGATTTGACCAATACACAGGGACACTCATTACATTGACAGAATAGGATGTATAGTGACGATCTTCACTAGATATTTTTTTTTAGATAAACTCATGATCTCCTTGGACATTTTGGACAGCCCTCGTACAGTGTATATGTTTTTTTTTTTTTTTTTTTTAAATATATATTAATTAAAAATTTTAACAGAAGGATTAAACACACACAAAATAAGTTATCCTGGCACCATACAGGTTATATCAACTTCTTATATGAAAAAAACCCCACGAAATTGCACATTGTAGTAAGTAAAGAATGTAAAAATGTATATGATTGTACAGTTTAAGCGCCCACTTTGAATTTGAAATTAATTGTTATGAATATCGTATAATTTGTAACGTAGGCGAATATACAAAGTGGAAGATACATGCCCTGCCTCTAGGATAAGCAACCTACAAATAACTTAAAGAATCCCTTAGAAACACAGATTCCTCCGTAGTTTAAAGGAAAAAGACAAGAGTAGCTTTTCAGATTGCCTAAGTATTTTTCTAATTTAGCAACAACTGTAAATTACCTGTGGTAAGCATTTTTCGTACGAAGTCCGAGGATACATCTGCAAAATAAACACATGTTTTAAACACAAAGCTTTATAAAATATATTTCATCTACATCTAATGAATTATATAGAAAACATGGTGTTTAAATGTTAAAGGAACCCCGGATTCCACTACCATATAGCAGAATTGCTAAAATAGAATCAAGAATGTATGATCAAAACCATGAGTAGAATTTTTGATACCAGGATTGAAACACGCAGAATATAGACAGAAATATAAAAAAGTATAAATAATGAAATTAATAAATAGTATGTTGGCATATTTTGATTGAAAGTTTCATTCAACAGTACAATATTCCAAAGAAAAAAAACTCATGCAGTGATAGGCATACAGTGAAAGAGTAAACATTAAGTAATACTTTGTTTCATTAATTTCGTTCAACAGATCATTCCAAAACATAAATATTTCAGGTTGGTTTTTAAGCTCTTATGAATTCGTGGCATCGCAGAGTCGATTGCTACGCTCAAACTCTCAAAGAGCAAAACTCATATAAAGCAAATAATTAGACCATAAATAAATAGTTTCTACAAAAAGTAAGGCCAATACAATTATTAGAAAATACCAAATCAATTTCCATACAATAACATCACATAAACGAGGGGATAAACTATGTATTGAACAAGTTCAAATGAAATCGCGCAAGGCCTTCAAGCATTGTGCTTGTCATAAGTAATACCTGTCAGTCGTGATATGATATTTTTATGTTTGATAATGAAGAAAAATGATAAAAATAAAGTCAGAGTAATTTGGCAGAGTAACAATACTATTTTGAAATAAATGTAAAATAGAGAATTTAGTTTGAATTTCAATAGATGAAATTAGAGCATACCAATTTCCTTATTGTTACCTGAGAGTGCAGGAAAAAATCGCCTGTGCTGTGGGGATAACTTTTCAATTTTCTTGAATTTCTGATCCTTTCCCTGCAGACGGACATATTTGTTTTTTCAAAGTACTTATACAAGGATGGCAAAAGCTGCACCCACACGGTACGTAGGAACAAGCAATTTGAATTTCTGTTTTGAATTTCTTTTTGTAGCTTCTATTTCTTTTAATGATGGAAGACAGGTAGTTAGTCTTCCTATGTTTGACATGATTGTGATATCATTTACAATTCAATGTAAACCCAACATGATAAAACCTTCAGAACTGAAGTTGTTCCAATATCTGACACGTATTGTAAAAAGCAACGTAGTAATTAAAAAAAACGGTGGACAAGCAAACCTAATCAACTTAAAGAAAAAAACTATTAGGAAAAATGTTGGTTGGCGAGATAAGTTTACAGCAAACATTATTGCTTTCTCTTTTTAACCTGAATTTTATTCTTCAGAAGGAGATAATTTCTTTATCCCTCCCTCTCTCTCTTTCAACAATTCAATTCAAGTATAACATGAAAAACTTCTCAGTAATTAATAAATAGTTCATTATGTAATATTACACAACATTATCTGAAGTCCTAAGCTAAGAAGGAAACATTTCAACTGAGAGAGAAATAAGTAAATAATATTAATTTGTGTTTAGAACAGGGTTTTTAAAAAAATCCTTAAATATGTGCGGTGTCCGTGCAGTTCGTACATTTGAGTAGTAATAAACGTTTTTGAGTTGTAATGTTATTTCGTTTCGTCTCCAAAACATTTCAGAACTTTAACACTCCAACAACAATTCATGGGATACCGGAATAATGGTTTTCAATCAAAAGCCGATAAGTTCTGGAAAAATCGCGATGAAAAACACATCTGTACTAGTGAATGACAATTTATCTTCAAATAGACATATCTAAAGTAAGACTACTTTGTGATTTGATACTACATAAAAATATCTTGCATTTTCTGCAATTTTAAGTTTTTCATTTAATATTGAATATTGAAATGTGTATTTCTGTATGATTTATCTATCTATCTATCTATCTATCTATCTATCTATCTATCTATCTATCTATATATATATATATATATATATATATATATATATATATATATATATATATATATATATATATATATATACACTTTTTTGCGTTAGGATGAACAAAAACCGCACAATTTCGCAATTATTCAAAACACTGGAATAAGTAATGATTTTATTGTGACGTAATTTTATTTTTTTTCTTTATCTTCTTTATCTTCAGAAATTCAAACAATTCCAAATTATGCAATGGCTTCAAACAAGATAAAACGCGTACTTCTTAGTTTGCCTTGTATTAAAATTCATTAAAGGCAGAGAAGAAAGAAAATAATTGAAAAAATATAAATACATTTATAGTTAAGTGTGTTATCCCCATTTTATTGAAAGTGTTACGTATACACTTAAAAAATATATATTTTTAGAAATTTGGAAATAACAAATATATTAATAGACCTTATCTCTTGATCTATAAATAAACTCTGAATAAACTCAAGCATTTTCAAAAAATGACCAACAGGAATGTTGCAATGAAAATAAACTACATGCGGGAAAATAAATATAGCTCACGTTACATGTAAATCTTAGGTGCATGTGAAGGTTGAACTTCACTTTGAAAAATGAAAATCATATATGGATTAATGATTAATTTGATCTCACTTTTTACCCCTAGATTTTGATTCCATAACAAATAAACACTCAAAATTTATTTTTATGAATGTGATTTTCTTTTGAAGGGTGTACATATTACGGATTTATACCAATTTCATCAGTTTTAAACTAAAGTATTGCCATCTACAACAAATTTAAAACAATCATTTTCTAAAAAAAAAAAAAAAAAAAAAAAAAAAAAAAAAAAAAAAAAAAAACACCCAGAGATATATTTTATTGTTTGGTTCCCTAAATTAGTAAGGTTTACGTATGATGATTTCCAAGTTAAATTACCAAATGAATTGAACAATCACAAACATGGAAATTATGTTTTATCATTATTACATTTAAACATCCATTACCGACCTTTCACATCCCCGCGAGCTCTCTGTATCGATCAGGTCAATGGAGTAATCTACTCTGGACAATATAAGTATTAAAACAATCTTAAAAATTAGTATGAAACATGAGTCAGATTAATTCCTATCGGTGGATAGCATTTGTATATATGGAAAAAAATACAACTATGGAGTTTATGAAATGCAGAATATAAATGAGATTTTTGAAGACCCTGTAAAATCAATTCAAACGTCAGTAGCCCGTCTAGGTGTAAAAATTGACCATACTCAGTACATGATCTACTGTGAGAAGAGACATAAACATCATATTAGGGCGACAGCGGAATTTTACCTTATACATGTAGGTATGGGACTGTGACGATTGAAATTTGAAGTCCTTCCGTTTGTAATGTAGTTTATGAGTTACAGTTTGTGGTATCTATGATCACGTATAAATTTATTCTATCTTATGAAAGTATCGATGTAATTTATTTAATAATTTAAGTTTAGGGAACTACAAGAACTCTTGACTTGTTCACCATTTAACAAGATTCTTAGATATATAACGTTTCTTTCTCCATCTTTTCTAACGGCATCTGCTCTCAGCATCCAGAATTAACTCCCCATCACAAAAGTTCAATTTCAAGAGTTATTTTACTTTAATTTAATAAAGTGGTAAATTGTACATGTATCTTTCTTAAAGATATAAAAAATGAATTCGATTCAAAATCTTTATTGTGTATGTATATACAAGAGAAGGAACATCCAAACTAGAACAAATGTTTTTTATTTACAAAATATAAAAATAACTGTAACATGAAGTAAATCATATTTTATTATGCTTCTGTCATAGAAAAGGATCAAGAAGTCAGAGCTATCTATCTTTGTAACAATCTTTTCCTTCTACATTCTCTAAAAGCAAAACAAAACGCAAGAAACATGATTTGAAAAATAAAGACTGAGTATAAAATTATTGAAAAATCATCCACAACACCAGAAATTGCATTAGATGATACTGAGAGAGAAATGCAAGTGGCGTAAAACAAAAGAAAGTAAAGTATATATACAACTTTTCTGGACATAATGTGGCAAAATGCCCAGGAATGACAGAAAAATATGTTTGCAAAAATACCAACTAAAAGACTAGACATCAAACTAGTGTTCTTTGCGCAGTTTTCATAGTAAATATGCTTCTGTTTAAGTTGTCGAAAGCAAAACCAAGTAAAGAAAAGAAAAATGCCAAAATGGCCTAAAAATACATAAAAAGCAGGCTCCCATCCAACAACTGATGCAAATGTTCCAAACATAACAATTCGAATAAAAATTTCGATACCTTTTTCAGAAAATAACGCGAGTAAATAAGCAATTTCACGCAAAAAAGATACAAATTTATTTCTGTACGATTTTCCAACAGTTCTTTTTGAATGCTCAAGCCTTTGGTCTTCATCTTTATTGAGGTACTTTGTGGCAAAAAATACACTTAGAAAGGAGGAGACGAAGTTAAGGACTAAAGAAATATCCTTTGTGTTGTGAAGATCTACAAAGGGATTGTATGTAAAATCAAAATTGTTATAAATACTTTGAATCATCAGCTAGTTCAAAAAAAATACTAATTATAGTGATGCATTTTGTAATTATGTGACTGTAAATGGCCTTATACTTTTGCTGCCCAAAATTTATGCTATAAAAAATCTTATGACTATAAGAACAAAAAAAATATTTGTAGGGCTGATCTTTCATTTATATTGAATGTAAAAGGTGTTTCAAGTTATATATATATAGATGATTTTAATGGGACAGTTCTGTTATCTTAATGAGCTTACCTATGTTTAAATCTTCATTTCCATACTTGAGATACCACAGTAGAATGGTCTGAGGAATTCCCTCTATAGCAGCTTCGGTCAACCAAAGAAACGTCAAAGCTTGTAAATACCACCTCACTTTCCAACGTTTCCAACCCATTAGTATTGTCCAACATAAACTAAAGATAAAAGAAAAATAATCATGAATCAGAAAGTGAGAGAGGAAAAAAATTATGCAAATAAAAGACACTAAATCTCAGTTAACTTATCAAATATAATTGCTAAATATGACAATAGACACAAATCGAAAATAAAACATCGATAAAAGCCTGCGGCTTCGATAAAATTGTTATGTAACTTATGGGGCTTTTATTTTTATATTTTGAATTTGTTCGTATGAAAACAAAGGTGTCTTTTTTTGTTGTAAAAAAATGTTAAGCCACTAAATTTTGAAAGACGAAATAATCAAGATTTAATTGCACAGAGAAGTATTGATCCCTTCTTTTATCCATATCCAATGTATAACCTTTTGGGGGTTATAGGGATAGAATTTAGTTTAATATGAAACACTTACATGCAGCTTTTCAAAAATGGAGAACAAGCAAACAACACGAGAGCTAATCGACGTCGCTTATTTGATGGGTCCACGTGGAACCGAAGAGGATAAAGCATTAAGAAATATGACAAAAATGTTGGAATCATGGTTAAGGCCAGATAAATGAATGCAATTATTCTTTTCTTTTGCTTGACTAAATAGTAAATCACATATGTGTCCTGGAAGAAATCAAACATATAGATCATCATCAAAATTGTCGTTGCGATTACCACAGCACATTTCACAATACATTTCCCTATTGACTGGCATGCAGGTGTCCCCACTTCCTTTCGACCATAAATATATTCATTTTGTTCAACAGTTCTAGTTATGACATGGATGTTGTTTTCTGGTGTAGCTCGTAAACTGTCAATGTCAAATTCTAGAAGAGGCTTCAGCTTTTCTTTGAGGGCGACACAGAACAGAAGAAAAAGGAAAATGAAGAAGGCAAATAATCCCAGAAAAAGCTTGAAACATGTGATCTGTTCGTGTGAAAAGTCGAGGCTCTCAAGGTAGACTGAAAGAATTGTGAAATAGATTATCTTAAAGGTTGTATATTTTCATTCACATCAAAATTCATCAACAAATCAGTTGTAATAGTATGATACAATAAATTACTTCACGAATTTACTCACCTGAGTTGTTAATTTCAGCCATCTTTATAGAAATAAAGTTGAATTTCTGGTAAATAATTTCTAAAACAAAACACTGTTTAATCGTGGGCAATAAATGCAAAGACGAAAGAATATTGGTAGTCTTCTAATATGTATAATCTTCAGATTTGAATCTATTTCAATTATAACAGTTTGCTTTGTCCTTAACTCCTTGTCAAGAAAATAGGACTAGACATGAATACACTTACTTACATAATCAATATATACTATTGAAATGGAAATCCCAAACTAATAATAACTTTTTATCTCCTTCTATTTATATCATTTGAAATACCCGAATATTTAAAGAAAACGATATATTTATTAGTCAGTTGATTACGATGAAAATAAACAGATTGTTAAAAAGTTACCTATCTCAGATTTGTTTGAGGTTAGTTTGCAATAAGTAAACATTATAATATTTTAATGTCAAAGGAGGGAAATCATGGTTCAACTTTAAATATCTATCATGCTGGTAGAAACTGATGCTACTTTAACAGTCTGTGTCTCTTATCTTTCTCATCTTAAAATCTAAAATGCAAACCTTTATTGGGGAAACTGATTACTTGTTCTATAAATAGATCAGATTAAACTGCATTACATAATGTATGCATAATATAGTATTAAAAATAAAGCTGATATTAGAGTTAATCTAAAAAGATAACTATAGCGCAGATTTAGCTTTTCCCGCAATGAATACATATATTAAATAGAAAAAAAATCATATTTTTTTTTAATTCTCCGAATACTTGTATTTTTATAAACTTCATTCCTCCTAAACTGCTATTATTACGTTTTTTGTTTTTGAAATTGCATCAACCAGATCCACCTATTGTTTCATTTTAATTTCTTGATAACCATTTGATTGACTCTATTAGCAAGAGACATAATCCTCACATAAATCATAATCACCCAAGGACATGTTCATGGGTGTTGTTATTCATATCAAAACTTCTATATTTCAATTAATCTTAAACTTGCGAAAAAATAGCTTCATGCATGCTAGAACAATTTTTCTCTTTTTTTGCGACATATAGGCAACGGCTGCTTTCTACAATTAGGGAGACGGTCATCAATAATTTCGTTGTTGGACATCCCCAAAACCACAACCATAAATGACTGGCCCTGGGCACATATGCTCAGCTGCTTGCTCAACTAGTATAAAGAAAACATTACATTAGATACAAAAACAAATAACAAACAATTAGTTTGGCACTTCCGGTGAGCCAAATCTACCTGTTACCAATAAGTTTTCCCCGGCAAATTCTGTAATACTCAACTGAGATATCGTCTTCTTCGGGAGATGTATCACAGTTTTCCTGAAATTAAAAACAGGGGCAAAAATAAGAGAAAGCAGAAGATATTAGATAATGAAATGATATTTATATTTTCTTCATGAGATATGTGTGGAAGTTTGACTTTTTTGGAAGAAATGGTTGTACTTGCACTAGTCGTCACACGATGTAATGGTTGTGACTGGCTTACATCCCCGAAGCCCAGAGCTTGGATGATATTAAGAGCGGGAAGGACCCAAAGATTACAAAAGTATCTATTTATTGAAGTTGGAGAATGACCTAATCACACTGCAAATTAATACCTAGCATTCCTCTGTCTCATAAAGTAAAAGAAATACAGAAGTAGTAAAAAAAAAATAACTGTTTTATTAAATGAAATTTTGTTTATCTTTTTATCTTTTTTTTAAAATCCGTATTAAATTCCTTTGGTGAATTTAAATGCAGATTGAACAATTTATTACGTTTTGATAAAGAGTTTCATGGCAGATGCCTTGATAAGTAAATCAAATTTGCATGTTTGCGGGAAAATATCAATGTATTCACATCCCACAAACATTTTGCTAAACATATAACCTACTTCAACAACGAGTCTTGACAAAGTAGTGTCTCAGTGTCAAAGTCATGATGAATATGCACTACTGTAATGATTTTCCCCTTAGATTCCAAAAAATCCCCTGACGTTCCCCTGTCTGTCCCTGACATTTTCCTGTCTCCCCCTGACTTTCTCCTATGATCCCCTGTCGTTGTCCCTGACTACCCTGTCTACTCCCTGACGTCCCCTGACTTTGCCCCTGTTACCACTGTCTAACCCCTGATGTCCCCTGACATTCCCTGACGTCCCTGTCAACTCCCTGATGTCCCCTGACTAAGTTCCTGACCACCCTGTCAACCCCCTGTCATCCCCTGACATTCATTTTGACCAGGAAAAGGGTTAAAATGTTTTTGTTGCTATTTACTTGTGAGAAAATCGATACCTTACTCCTAGCAATTTTCAAGTTTTGTGAAAATGTAGATTTAATCAAAGCTTGTTTGGTAGCTTTTCAGATAAATCTTAATAAGAATAAATGACGTTACTTAAAAAAAATAAATAAGTTACTAATTTAGTGCGCCTTGTGTAGCACGAATGGCATGTTAATATATTTATTTATTTATTTATTTATTTATTTATTTATTTATTTATTTATTCATTTATTTATTTAACTATTCATTTATTTATTTACTTGTTTATTGATTTTATTAATTCATGTATCTCTTTATTTATTAATTTGTCTGCTTATTTATCCATTCTTTTTTTCCATTTGTATATTTATTTTTTATTCAATCTATCTATCTAATTATCTTTTTTACTTATTTGTTTTATTTAATTATCAATAAACAAATGGATTTATTTTTTAAAAATAATATTTATTTTATTTTATTCAATTCAATTATTTTAATTTATTGATTAATCAAATTTTATTCATTTTGTGTAGTTCTTCATATACAGTGTCAGAGTAAAACAAATTATGCTTCAAACTATTTTTTAAGCATATTCAAATTACTTTTAATTCTTTTAATTTCATGATGGGTATCAAAATCATCGTCTCATTACGCACAATCTGAATCTGGATTTTGTTTTTTTTTGTTCCCTTTTACTTTGGTAAAATAATTTTTTTTCTTAAAAACTTGTCACGGTTGTGAAAGAAATAACACCTGCAGTGTGGATACGGTCGTGCTGCCATAGAATAAACAGTGTATAGTGGTCAGTCAAAAGAACAATAGGTGTCTGGTCTGTGTACCCAGAGTCACTAGTCAACGATCAACAGCTCAGAAATTTTTTCACAATACAGTTTTTGAGGAACATTTCTATTTTTTGTAACAAAGTAAAAGAAGCAATAAAACAAATTTCGAATTCAGATTGTGTGTAATAAGATGATTATTTTGATACCCATCATGAAATTAAAAGAATTAAAAAGAAATGTAAATATGCCTAAAAATAGTTTGAAGCATCGTTTGTTTTTCCATAAGACTGTTTATGGGGGAACTACACAAATAAATAGGAATTGAAAAAATTAATTAATTAAAATAAAATGAATTAACAAATAAAGAAAGAAAGAAATAACATTAATTAATTAATTAATAATTGAATAAAACAAATATTTAAAAGAAAAGAAATGAATAGATTAAATAAATAAATAAACAGATAGATAAAAATATTAATAAATATAAAAATAAACAAAAAAAATAAGTAAAAAAAAAAATATTGATTTTGTAACAAATTATTTGTTTGAAGTATCTTTAGTAAATTTATTAATTTAATTGAATCTAATTTATTGATGTATCTTTTTTATTTATTTTTTTGTCCGTTTTTATTTATTTATTTTTTCATTAATTTATTAATTTTATATATTAGATTTATTTTAACGTACTTGTTTTATTTAATTTTTAAAAAATAAATAAATTTATTTAGATTTTTTATTTATTTTATTTTATTTTATTTATTTTCTTTATTTTAATTTATTGATTAATTTTTTTAATTCAATTTGTGTAGTTATTCATAAACAGTCTCCGGGTAAAACAAATTGGCTTCAAACTATTTTTTAAGCATATTCAAATTACTTTTAATTCTTTTAATTTCATGATGGGTATCAAAATCATCGTCTCATTACGCACAATCTGAATCTGGATTTTGATTTATTGTTCCCTTTTACTTTGGTAAAATAAAACTTTTCTCAAAAACTTGTCACGGTTGTGAAAAAAAAAAAAAAAAAAAAAAAAAAAAAAAAAAAAAAAAAAAAACACTTGCAGTGTGGATACGGTCGTGCTGTCACAGAATAAACAGTGTGTAGTGGTTAGTCAAATGAACAATAGGTGTCTAGTCTGTGTACCCATTCATTCATTTATTCGCTCAAAAACCATATGAATGGTACAAGAGGTACATATATACATATTTACAATAATTATGGACGAGCAGAGATTACAGGAGGACAGACAGTGTCAAAAATTTTGATGATAAATACACACAATTTTCTTAAGAATGCTGGGTCAGTATTTGCCATTAAATTACAGAATTTTATAATATTTGGATGTACATAGTATTTCTTTAACAGAAAACCCAGAGTCACTGGTCAACTATCAACAGCTCGGCACTACTCTCACAACCGTGACAGTTTTTGAGGAACATTTTCTATTTTTTTTTACCAACGTAAACGAAGCAATAAAACAAATTCCGAATTCAGATTGTGTGTAATAAGACAATTATTTTGATATCCATCATGAAATTAAAAGAATTGAAAGAAATGTGAATATGCTTAAAAGATACTTTGAAGCATATTTTGTTTTACCTTACGACTGTTTATGCGAAACGCACAAATAAATTGAATAAAATAGAATTAATTAATTAATTAAAATAAAATGAATTAAAAACTAAATAAATATATAATATTAATCAATTAATTAATAATTCAATAAGGAAAATATATCCAATGAGAAATATATGAATAGATTAAATTAATAAAATAGTCAATAAATAAATAAAACAAATAAATAAATAAATTTGGATATATAGATTAACATATAAATAAATATAGATATATTTACTTGCCATTCATGACAGGACGCAATAAATTTGTAATTCATTCTTTTCAAAGTAACTGGCATTTATTCTCCTTAAAATTTATCTAAAAGCTACATGTACTAAACGAAAACAATCAAATACAATCATATTAAGAAATAGATTACTAAAGATATTAAAACAAATAACAATTGACTAAATATATATTTTCACAAAACTTAAGAATTGCCAAGAGTAACGTATTTCTCATAAGTAAATAGCAACAAAAACATATTTAACC